CAAATAGAACCTAGGGCTGTCCTGAGCAGCACGGCCTGTGGCGAGTCAATGGGTAAACATTCTCAGTGCAGAAAGAGGAGGACGGGAGCGACAGCTAAAAAAGACGAGGGCAAATCTGTGAATAAATCCAAGCAAGCAGCGCTGCCTGTGTTCTCATGCACCTTGGTCCTTGGAGTGTGTTTGAGTTAGAATTATGCTTCTCTCCCGCCTGCCTTTAAGTCCTTTTAATCATTTGAAACGTGCATAAAATATAGAGTAAATCCTATTTGAAGAAAAGTTCTCTTGTAGTGCGTGTTGTCTAAGGAAAGCTCCATGTTATGATTAGATCTGTTATGGTTAGATCCTTAACAATTTATTTCAGTGGGAAAACTTCCATTGGATTTAATGGCAACAGGGCTCGAACTACATTTCCATGAATCGTTTCAAGACAGTTTACCATTCAGGGATATTGGCTTCTTACCAAATGACTGTCTTATTTAGATCACAAGAAAGATTGTCTTCGTTCCATGTTATATCCAGTCCCATGGATGTGCTCTTGAAAGGAACCTGAAACCTGGATATCATAACTTTGGTGAAATAGCCTTAATACTTTAAGACGTTACACTACTATAGTGTATTACATTTTGGGAGAAAATGTTCTCACATGTCCTATAAAAGAAAAATTTACACTAGATCTATTTTAGTAGTGTGGCTACAGCTCTGTCTCTCTCCTTGAGGTAAATCTAATCATGTAAGAAAGATCTACTTGATAAAATCCAAATGTAAGTACCTCTTGTTATTCCATACAAAAAGACATTTTCAAAATGGTAACTGAAATGTCCTTGCTTGAAATTGCATTGTGAAACTGAGGGCTTTGTTGCATAAATACAAGCGTGCAGCAGCGGTGGCAGTCACCAGCTAAGCAAAGCGTCCTTGGGAGGCGTTTGAGCAGGGTCGTAGTTGTTAAGAAGGGACCCACCAACGGTGGGGACCCTGTCTGCAGGGGCTGATGCCTGAGCACAGTGTACATTTGTTGTCTAACTGGCCCGCGGGCAGCGCTACTACCTGGAGGGCTGTGAGCACGGCCTGGGCAGTTGGCATGGCCGTTGGTGGGCTAGTGTGCATGTAGGTGCCTGGGATGGTTTTTAGGCTCCTGTTCACTGTTTGTACTCTCCTTTTGGCTCTTCTGCGAGTTTTCTTTGCCATCTTTGGATCTTGGCTGTTGCTGGGGAGGCTGATCCTGGTAAAGGTGTGTTAAGCACCCATTTAACAACAGCCTGAACCCCCAGCTACACAGAAGGAGGGGTGCCAGGAGACCATGGTAGGTTGTGGGTGGCAAATGGAGACTACCATGATGGGGAAGGCTGGAGACCTGTGACTCCTGGCAGTAAGAAAACGGTTCCTTCTCCACTTTCAGGTCTGCAACTGCAGAATAGGTTTAGTGCTCTGGAAGCAGATGGAGGAGGACACATGATTTAGTGACAGCAGCCATAGGTGAGACACTCAATGCCTTGTTTGCTTCACTGTCTACCAACAAGGACTCCTAGGTATCTGAATTTAGTGTAAGGATTCAAGGAGAACTACCAGCAGTAGCTAAGGACTGAGTGAGGGATTACGTGTGAAAACTTGAGTCATAGAAGTCTATGAGACCAGATAGGCTGCATCTAAGGATGCTGAGAAGGCTGGCCCATGTCTTTGCGAGGCTGCTGTCTTTCATCTTTGAAAGGTAGTGGAGATTGGGGGAGATCTCCATGATGGCAGAATGGCAAGTATTGTGCCTGTGTTCAAAAAAGACCAAAAGTTCAGCCTGGAAAACTACAGGTCAGTCAGCCTCACTTCAGTCACTGGGAAAATCATGGAGTCCTCTTGGAACAGATTTCTGGGCACGTGAAGGAGAAGGTGGTTATCAGGAACAGTCAGCATGGATTGACCAAAGGTAAACCATGCCTGACTGACCTGATTGCCTTCTATGCAGAAATGAGTGGGTTTGTGGATGAGGGGAGAGCAGTGGATGTCATTTACCTTGACTTTAGCAAGGCTTTTGACACGGTCTTGCATCATGTTCTTGTACCCAAGATAAGATGTTACAGTTTAGAGGCTGAACTGGATGGTAAACTAACTGGTTGGGTGGTTGGCCTTAGAGGGTGGTGGTTAATGGATCATACACTGCCTGGAGGCCTAACAAGTGGAGCACTCCAAGGTCTATCCCTGGACCTGGCCTGTTTAACATTTTCATAAATGACATGGAGGAGACAACAGAGTATACTTTCAATAGAATTGCAGATGTTGCCAACGTGGGATGGTCAGGGCTGGACCACTTGCGCTGTGAGGCTGCAGGACTGGGGCTTGCTCAGCCTGGAGATGAGGAGGCTTTGGAGGCACCTACCAGTGTGCCCCCCCTCCTCCCTTAACTATTGGAGATCATTGAGAAGATGGAGCCATGGTCTTCACAATGGTGCATGGTGGACAAAAAACAAGAGGCACAAGTTGAAACAAGAGATGTTCATACTGGATATGAGGAAACACCTTTTCACCATGAGGACAGTGGGGTAGTGGTACAGGCTGCCCAGGGTGGTTGCACGCCTCCATCCTTGGAGGTTTTTAAGACCCAACTAGAGAAAGGCCCAAGCACATGATTTGAGCTCATGGCTGAGTCTACCTTCAGCAGGAGGTTGGACTAGAGAACTGCTGAGGTCCCTTCTGACTTGAACAATCCTTGATTCTTATGATCCTGTAGATACAACTCCAGTTTGGCTTGGTGTTTTTCTGAGAAGCAATATATTGGTAAAGGCTTTCTTTAGCCAATTCTATTTAAAGATGCCTTGGCCTTGCAACAGTCTTTCATAAAACAACTCTTTTGCCTGCTTGTCTCCTCCACAACCCAAAGCAAGGTTATTCTTTACAGCAACAGACAGAAGACTCATTGAAAGAAATGTCACTGACAATGAGCAGTGAATCAGCGCCAGTCCTTAGTGTGTTCTTACATCTGAAAAAGCTGACTGCTGGTAATTCAAGGTGTATAGTTGATGGAGACAATACAGACACTTTATAATCCCAGACAAAGCCAAGAACACAGAACCGTATAACGAGCTATCCCTCGCTTTTATACAAATGACTGATTTGACAAAACCTAAGGATCTTTCATGGACTTCTGTAATAATGTGGAACATTTGCTTTCCATGCAATAGAGCAAAACTGTGAAGTTGTGAAGATGGAAAACCCACACGCTGCTAAGAAATACACTCTAGAACCTGCTGGAATGTAACAGCATTCACATTGCTCTTATTTAAAAATCATTGGAGTTTGTACATATATTTCATGTAATTCAGGAATTAGCTATTATCATTAATCGTGTTTTCACAGTGTCCACTGTGCTAGGTACAGTACTTTTAATAATAATAATACAGTGTATAGTATTTCTAGACAAAGCTTAAGACAGGCAAATACATATTTTTATCTGGCCTACGGAGATGGAAAAGAGGCAGAGGATGAACAGGAATCTACTCATTTAGGAAAAATAAAATTCCTCTGGTGGAGTGTTTTATGCAACAAACAGCCACAGCAGCACAATTCTGACAGCAACTCATCCTGAGCAGCATCTATGGTTTCCACTGAATTCCATCACTTGTACTGCATCAACTGATAGCACTCAGTGAGATGAAGAATGAAAAAATCCATCTCTTTGGGATTTTTAGGTTTTGTTTTCATCAGTTGATACTAAATTCTGTACTCAGCCATTTTGATTTGCAGGGTAAACTACTGCTCATTTCAACTCAGAAGCAAAATGTGGTTCAGAGAGGTTGAGTTTTCCATAAGTTGGTGTTCTGGTCCCTTGAAATGTGGATCTGTAATAAGATGGTGTTCCAAATTTTCATTGCCTGCAGTCTGTTTCATATAACTGGGGATGGGTATGACTTGATTCAACGCATATAAGACTGTTCTTTTTCAGGATTCATTTAAATCCATCCCAGTTTAGAAGAAGAAGAAACTTGTTCACAGCTGTGTAGGTGCCGTGTAGGTGCCATGTATGAAGTGCATTGTCTTCTCAGTTCAGTTACTCTTAGGCAGGTGGTCACATCACAAACCATCAGAGTAACTGGCTTGAAAAAATAACCTTGTTTCTTTCAGGAGGGAGGATAATAATTAACAGCATATGGAAAGAGTTGCTTTTACCACAGGGATGAAAGGTACATTGGTAAAACAGGATGTGGGCAAATTTATGCTCCAGTTGTCTCTGTCTGTGGTTTGTGTCAGCCTGTGTCTGAACAGGAGATTCTGGCTTACGGTGTGTCCAGATGATAGTCAGAATAATGAATGTATTTTTTTGAAAATAGAAAATATAAAACAAGCTTAAAACTGGAGCAGTTCATTGACTTCAGTTGTAAGAATCTGGCCTACTGTAATTCCATAGAAATTACTCCTGAATTTTGCAGAAAGTATCTTTTTGTTTCATCCTACTGTTGGAAATAGTGGGTACACGTTTTCAATTTTGTATGTTCATATTTCCTGAAACTTTGCCTAGAACCTGAAAAGTGTTAGAAAATACTGGAAAATCTGTATATGATTTGTAAGCTATCTTTGAAGGGGTTATCTTTCTAGGTGCTACCGTTGCAAAAAAAATATTGCAATGATAAGAGTAAGCCTGAATTTCTCCAAAGTGCTTAACTTTAAACTATTTGATATCAGCCAGAATTCCAGAGGATTTCAGCTCAGATTAAAAATATTTTTTTTAATGTGAAAAGTCATGGAAATTGATGAATGAGTCTTACAATATCCTGTCTAGGATGACCACGTCATGCATATGGTTGAATTTATCATGTATCTCACATAAAGAAAGGCAAAGCTTGATAAGCAGTTTTATTGGGCAATTACTTTTTTAAATTTGCAAATAAAGCAGATTGATTTCCATCTTGAAGTAATTTACTAACACATTATAAACTCATCAAACACTAACGTGGTACAGTACGCCTCATTTCCTGCTTACTAAATAATCCTTTGGCTGTCTGCTTTGTGTCTTTCAGGTTGAATCTGGAATTGTTCTCTGCTGGGGACGTCATGGAGCCTGGCGTCAGAGTCCTTCACCTGAAGGAAAACATTGCCTCCTTGGCTCGGCTTCTTGCAAGTACAAGCCATGGCGGATTCCCAGTGGTTTGCAGGCCCAAGCCAGACCATGCAGAGGTGTTCCAGGGAACTATTAAAAGGTAAAAATGCTGTCAAATTGGTGTCATGTGATGTTTCTGGCCATTTATCAGATTTTTTTTCTTTAAGCATCTGTTTGTGAAGATTATTTGGGATGGATATGAAACTTGTTCCTACTTTCTTTAGCATGGACGGCAGGTGTCCTTTAAAGAAACGACCTAGGTCCTTTCTAGTACAAGGTTATCTATTGCATCAGGGATTTCTTGAAACAGCACCAATGAAATGATCTTACGGGAACTGTGAAAAAAAGGAAAATTGCCCTTCAGAGCCTTAAAGGTTCACTGAAACAGTAATTTAAAAGGATTTGAATCTAGTTACTCATGAAATGTCCTATGCCAATTCAAAGCTGGGCCGCTCTTTCTTCACAATTTTTTCATTTTATTAGTGTATACTTTTACAGGAAATGAGTTAACATAAATCATATCACAGACGAGATAAGCAACAAAGTCACTGGAAGTAACGTGCTAGGGTAAACAAGAATTAGACTAAAGGAATCCTTGCCATATGGGGGACTCTCAAAAGGCATATAAAATCTCCTGATAAATGAAGTATTTATGGTACTGTATTTCATACGACTACAAGAGTGAATTCATCTTTTCAGAAAGGTATCTTAAGACTGTCCTTTGAGTGGTGGGTCACGAGTGGGAGAGGCAGTGACTTAATTTCCACCTTGAGTATCCTAGAGGAAAGGAGAAGACGCATATGCAACTCCTACTGCACAGGAGTTCACACAGCAAAGCCCTATGAATTATGCTTCCAATAACAGGAATACAAACACAAGGCCAGTTTTGTATTGTAATATCATAATCTTTCATAATTTGCATGGTGTCTTTTGTCCTGAATGACCTAGTATTCTACATCTTTTCTTGTAGAGGATTTTTTTTTAATCCACTTCTGGTTTAACGCCTTAACTGCGTGGCATTTGGGAGCTATCTGTGAGCAAACAAGGATAAAAGTATTTTCTTCTGTTAATCTGGGTGGGGAAAAATGTTATCCGTGCATCATCAGTGTAAATTTGGTTAGGACTTGTCTGCTTGCCTGCTTTATAACAAATTTTCAAGGATGAACCGCTGGCAGCTGGATCACACGAACTTACCTCATAGTAATGGGGTCAGCTGCCCTTTTGGAGCATGAAGAAGGGAGTGAATATTGAATAAAAATTGTGAACTTGCTTCATTGACAAGTGAAACAGTTTGTATGAACCTTTTAGGAAGAGAAATATCTGCTTGGAATAAGAATTGTACAGTGGAAATCGTTTGGGTCGCAGTGGCCTGCAGGAGTAACAACATCAATAAGTGCAGTATCATATACTTGTATGTGATATGTACACTTGTTCCCTGATGGTGATGCTGTCATAAACATTATTAATAAGAAATGTGCTAAGGCACTAAACCCTACATTTCTAAGTGATAGTCTGCAGTGCGTACCAATCTGAAGGTATTATATAGCAGGAACTAGTGTGCTTTTTTAGTTCTCAGCTGTCCACGGCAATAAAACTAGAAAGCACACTAACTGATACAGCCAAAGTTCCTTTTAAATTCAATTTATAGTCTCATCATTTCCTTATTAATTCACCAGATCACCTTGCAGTGAGCGTCCCAGGCTGCTGAGGAGTATGCTGAATTTATGCAAATACCGTTGTGCTTTGTAATGCAGAGCAAAATGGTGTTGGCGCAAGCAAAAAGGGGGGACAGAAGGCTGATCACGAGCACATCCCAAAGAGAGGCGTCTTTAGAGAAAAGCTGATGCTACCTGACAGTTCTGGTAGGCTTGTGGTTTGCTTAATCCCCAGAGCTCTTTTATGATACCTTCTGTTAGAGCCTTTTAAAAGGGATGAATGAAAAATTTGTTTCCCTGTCACTTTCAGCATAAATGAGCTGTTGTTAGACTGTTTTGAGTAAAACCAAGATAATGTTTTAAATGGTTGACAAAGAAGCAACAAATGGCTTTTTTGGCTAGTTGGTTGCTCACTCCAGTGAAACCCATACAGAGACGTCTGGAAGCAAGCATTGCGTTCTGGGGTGTTCTGACGACACCCCTTCTTGCCCCAGTGTGTGCCCAGCTGCCTGAGTACTTGCGTGATGAGTTCTGGGTGCCTTGTCCCCAGCGGGGATCACGGGTGACTTTGCTGTTCTGCTGTTCTCACCAACATCAGGAAAGGAATGCTCTGTACCCATCCTCTGAAACAAGCCTCCAAAAATGTGATGTGTCATGGAATTAGTGTATTCATAACCATAAGCAGTTAGGATTCGGGTTTTCCATCTTACTCATAAAATTACAGCTCTTGCAGCACGTAACTGTTAAGACCAAGATGAGAAATGCTGTGAACTCCTTAAAGGAGAAGGGTGCTGTTCAACCCAATGCAATCCCACGTGGAGGTGACATGACCACAGGCAGAAAAATGATAAGTTATTTTTTCCATCTTGTACATCAGTAATGTTAAAGTGGAGGAAATGTGGCTTGCCTGGCATATTTTAAAAAAGGTGGCTTGGGAAAGATGCAAAAAATAATTGCCATGATGTTTTTCTTGAGTGTTGCCTTGGGCATTATTATTGGCTCTTAAATGTGTTTTTTTTCCTAGTACAAAAATGTTGTTATTAGGTTAAAAAGAAAGGGGCAACAAGCTAATGAAGGGAAAGAAGCAAACAATCTGCTAAGCTTGCATGAAGGCAGTGGCAGCTCGTAGTTTTTTAATACTCTTTCCCATTTCTGTCTTTTTCTGTACCGTTTCTTCTCATGAAATAAGCATGGATGAAACACTGTAAATTTGGACCAAATGTAAAAGTTATTCAGTACCTGCCCACACTTGGAAACTGTAGTGATGAGAGTTGCTGTACAAGGACAAAGTGTTGTTATGTTTTGTAATACCTACGAATGATTCTGAACCTTTGAAGAGAAAAGGTCAATGTCAGTTCTTACAAAAGCAAGGACTGTGACCGAGCAATGTTGGCTGCAACTTGCATGGGCCTACAAATGCACCACAGTGCTGGCCTGTAGCAAACACCCAGATATTCAAATTTTATTAAAAAAAAAAAACCCAAACCAAACCCCCAAAATTTTCCAGATCTGCTTAGTGGGGCCAGATTTTTCTCCTACTCTTTGTGATCTGGATGGTTACCCACTGGGGATCAAGATGAGATCAACAAACACGTTTTTACATGGGTGACCTAGATCTGAAGCTGTTATCTTCCACAGTTGAGTAAGCAGTAGAGACTAAAACCAAAAGCAACTACTAAAGAAAACTCCTTGGCTTTAAAATTGTTAAAGAGGAAGCAAACTGTAGCTGAGAAGCAAGTTTCCAAAACAAAGATCTCCTTAGAGTAATACTTTTGACACTTTGCCATAGGCAGAGCTCTGTGCATGCCTGGGAAACCCTCGCAGAATTCAGTTTGAGGAACGTGTGACTGGTGAATTTGATGCACGGCATTGATGGGGATGATCGACTTATTGTGTGCAACGCAGAGGGTTGAGGGACTGGCCTCCCCCCTTCATTTCTCCCACAGTAATGATGATACTTGCACATCAGAATAAAACAAGCTATTCTTTTGCACTGCAGCTGAAATGCCTCCCCCGTCTCCCCCCAGTGACTGCAGGAAGGGAGCTGGGCTGTCATGAATGTGTTATCCCAGAGTCTGCTGAGAGCTATAAATGTCATGCTCTAAATGGCATGCCCTCCTAGCTAGGTGGAATTCATTCTTCAGAGAGACCTGAGGATAGGACCACTGCCTTCCTTCCCAGGAAGTTTCTGCCAGAGACACTGCGTGAGGCTGTAAATGCATATTGAGGAGTTGTTGGGAGGTCCCCTGGCTCTCTCTTGCCTTGGCTGCTCTAGTCTGTGGCTCCAGATCCTCCTCCAGTGGGAAAAGATAGTTATGCTTCTGCCTAATTTCTGTGAGACCAAAACTGAAAAAAGAGTTGTTTTTTCACTTCCACATATGTTACAATGTACTGGTGTAGGGCCATTGTGGGGCAATGAAGTGGTTCTTTGACATGATGAAGAGATTAGACACATCATCACTTGTGTTTTGCTGCTCCATCTTCTTTGCCAGAGGTTACTTTATAATGTAAACCACAGTAAAAACAGAAGACATGGAGGATTTGAGGAGGAAAGCTGTAGGTAACGAATTTATTTTCCCTGGCTGTGGACATGGCTGGGATATAACACGGAGGGTGATGATACCTCATGGTCATCAGCAACGTCTTTGCTGCCATGCCGCGCATCCTCCCACGCACGATCACTTCCCTCCACACGCGTCTTTGACAGTCATGTACTCTCTGATTTCTTCCACCAAAACGGATGACAACGTGCTCTCTACCTAGGTGCTTATTTTCTGAGATGCTGTTTATCCCCTATTATATGTAGGTTTCCTGCATATTTGTGACTGATGAATACCATGTTCCTCCCACGGACTGTTCTGGTGTTGGTGGCTTTTCTTCCCTTTACTTCACTTTTGCCAAGGAAAATGAAGGAGCAGGGTTTCCGTACTCCAGTTAAATCCTCCCAGTATTCACTGAAGAAAAGCAGGTGGATGCTGGTGTCTTGTTAGGCCAGGATCTGTCCCCTCTGTTTCCTTTGAGGAGAAGTGGTGCAGAGAGGCAGAAGCTGGAATGCTGCCCAGCAATCTTAATTTCTGCCTTGAATACAGCTATGAGGCAATTTTCCTGGAGAAACTACCAAGCTGACGAATACCACTGAGTAGCCTGTTTGGGAATTTTACCATAACAAATAAGCCATTTTGTTCATGTGTGAACCTCTCAGATCTGTACCATACATAGCTCTCCTGTTGTAAGGCTGAAGGCTGGATTCTCTGTTTTTGCCTTTGCACTCTTACCTACACAGCTGTTGGCCATTACTCTGCATTTTGTTTGTCTATCTTTTAGCTGAAGGAAAATTTTTTTTTGCTTGATTTAATTTGATTGGGAGAAAGTAATTATGCAGAAACCACAATATCTCTGACTCTAAGCAGACTGTACAGAATGTATCCGTCTAAGCAGAAATGGG